TGCCAAGAAGCAGGACTTACCATTTGTTTCAGTGTCTGAAATCATCTCTTCTCTAATCTTATCCAGTGTTCAACAGGAAGATGAACTTAGTCCTGTTGTTTCACTTTGGCCAGAAGTGGACACCCAGATCCATGGCCAGGAGTGGACACCCAGATCCATGGCTACAAGTGACACCCAGATCCATGGTGTCTGGAGAGAATCTGGTGCCAAAGATTGAACCCACCACTCTGAATGTGCTAAGTATGAAGTTCATTGGTCCCTGATGAAGGCTTTGAGGTGATTCGCTGAAGTAAAGGAGTCTGCATCAAATGGTCCTGGTCCCAGTGGATTTTCACACAGAGAAAGAATGAAACCTCACCTTATACCTCAAAGAAACATTACCTCAGGTTTGGTGTGATGGCACACTCCTTTAATCCCAGCACTCGGAAGGCAGAGGCAGAGGGATCTCTGGGAGTTCCAGTCCAGTTGGGGCTACATGATAAGACTCCTTCTCAAAAGCAAATAGCAACAACAAAAGAAACATTATCTGAAAAACAGTCATAGATCTAAAATAACGCTGTAACGCTCATGAGGGGGTTATAGAAGAAAATCTTCACAACTATGGGTGAGCATGATAATTTCTTAAATAGAAGGAGTATGCACTAGCTACAAAAGCAAAAGCAATATAGTCTTTATGAAAATTGATTTTCCCCTGAAAAGATTTTATGAAAAAAAGCAAGAATAAAGAAGTAAAAAGGCAATCAGAGATCAAGCTCTGTGTGTGTGTGTGTGTGTGTGTGTGTGTGTGTGTGTGTGTGTGTTAGTTTTCCATTGCTGTGACAAATACTTGAGAAAACAATATGAAAAAGATGAAAGATTTTTGGTGGGCTCATGATTTCAGAATATTCAGTTCTGGGTCACTTGGCTCCATTTTGGGATCTGAGCAGGACAGGTCATCATGGCCAGGAGCATGTCATAGAGTAAAGCTTACCTCATGGAATCCAGAAAGCAGAGAGAAGACCAGCTTCCAAATGTGCCCTCAGGGCCCAGGGCCCAGTGATTAGACTTCCTTTTACCAACAGCCTAGCTGCTGAGGCTTTATCACATGGATGGATAGAGACCTATATTTATAGATGGTAAGCAGACAAATGATAAGTAGATATGCAGAAGATAGCTGATATCTAGACAGATAGATGTTAGGTTTGTAGGTGATAGAAAATCTGATCAGATTTTTTTAAACCAGAAAATACAATGAATTCAAAAGATGATAAAATCTCAATAAAAATGGTCAGAAGACTGGCAGTATGGAAGACTAGCTTGAATCCAAAGAAAACAGTCCTAAGAGAAGCATTGCGGCAGTCTCCTGTGGTCCCAGCACTCCAGGCTATGGCAGAAGGATCAAGATTTTGATGCCAGTCTGCTCCACAGAGCAAGATTTTTTTTTTTAAAAAAGATAACATTTTCCTTTATTATGCATAATTTCACAAGCTTTCAAACTATATATCAAAACAAACAAATAAACAAACATAGCTCTCCAAAGTACTAAAGGAAAATCCCAGGTAGGTACTGGCACCAGACATACTGTCATCAATCAATAATGAACATTTGAATTATAAATGCCTTAGAGTATAGCAGTTCTTGACCCAGAAATTCTACTTCAGGAAATTTAAGAAAATAATCTCTAAAGATGTGGCTTCCTGGATGTTGATGGGAAAAAAATACCTTAAAATAATATAAGCAACTAGCAATAAAACTTTAGTTGAAGTAAATAAACTTGAAATAAATAAGCTTTAGTTACGAACTTTAAAAGTTACCTAGCTGCAACCAAAACACTGGGCCTCCAATTGTAACAGTGCATGCAAAAGTGAATGAGTGATAGATTAAGCGGAGGTTCTAAGTGCTGTTACAAAAAAAATCAAACCCTAACCACTAATTTCTGCTCCATGGCCCCAAGAGCATTTGGGGTAGGGTGTGGGGTATTTTCTCATGACTTAAAATTCTTATTAGTCTGGCCTGGCAAAGCCTGTCATCTCAGCTATCTGGGAGTCATGAGGCAAAAGAATTGAAAGTCCAAGGCCAGCTTAGTTTGCAGAGTGAGCTCAAGGCTATCCTAGACAATGGGACTCTGTTCAAAGAGTTAAAAGAGGGCTGTGCCCTTATGAGGACAAAGGGAGCAGAAGCAGCTAGCAGGGCTTTGTATGACTGTGAGGATGATGGAAATAGCCTTCCGGGGAGTCAGCTTCAGAGAGACAGAGTGAGGGGAGTATATAGGATGATGACAACACTTAATAGGTGCCAATAATATGCTTCATTTGCATTTGGCAGCATGGTCCTTTCATACAAAAGGATCACACCTGATTATCATATAGGCAGCAGGGGGAGATCATTTGCAAGGAACTGTGTGAAAGGTCACACTTAAGATAAATCAGGCATCCAAGCTCAGGGACAGCTTCCAAATAAGGTCAAGCAGAGTGCTGCTGGGGGAAGGGAGTCTTCTATTTTGCTCTGAGCTCAGGAGAGCTGTCCAGACACGATGGATTCCAACTTTAGGCAGCAGGGTCTTCCAACAGGCTGGGCATGTGACTCAATGGTACAATGCTTGTCTAGCCTGTTAGAGGCTCAGGTTCACTCTCCAGTACCACCTCCAAAGTAATTAATATAAAATGCTTTTACATTCATTTACTGTGTGTATTTGGACGTGTATGTACCACAGTGCATCTGTGGAAGTCAGAGGACAGCTTGAGAGAGTCAGTCTCTCCTGCCACTGTGTGAGTTCCTAGAATTGAACTCAGGTTGTTAGACTTGGCAGTAAGTGGCTTACCTGCTGAGCCATCTTGCCGACCCCCATAAATAAAAATTTCTAGCTTAAACAATTGTCCATTAGCTCTTCACGTAAGGACCCTGTAATGATTACTATTGGTTGTCAATTTCATTGGATTGAGGGGGTACCTAAGAGTTTGGTAAAGCATATATCTGGCTGCATTTCTAAGCCTTGTCCAGGGAGGAGTTATAGAAATAAAGCCTTAATCCATTGATGGACTCACTGTTTCAATCAATTTGGGGGCGTTATGGAACTGTAGAAGGTGAGGCCTGAAATGGAGGAAGTGGGCTTCTAGGGGTGTCTTTGGAGGGTCTGTTTTGGCCCCACCCCTTTCTGTTAGCTCCTCTTTGCTTCCTGACTACCATCAGGTGCACAGCTTTGTCTTCTGTGCCCTTCTTCTGTGATGTTCTGCCTTGCCATGAACCTACACACAATGAAGTCAGCCAGGTGAGAACTTTAAACTTGCAAACCATGACCCAAAATGAGCCCTTTATTTAGAACTTTAAGTTATTCCTCTCAAGCGTGTGTCACATACACAAAAGTATGACTAATGCAGTTTCTCCTCTCTTGAGACGTTGCCTCAAATCTGCTCTTCAGTCTCGTGTGTCCAGCTGCCCTTTGCCTTATTCTTTTGTTGTTGTTGCTTTCTCATTATAGGTATTCCCTAAATCCCTATCTAATCCCGTTCCAGGCTTATTGTCTTATTTGTATTTTCTACAAAAAAAAATGTACTTCAGGATAATGATATTTGTTTTATTCACTTATGTTTTTCAAATAGCTTTTAATAGGGCTTGGCACATAGAAGTGTTAGAACACAGACCCTACATCTGTCTTTCTCTTGTACTTTGAACTCAGACCGAACCCCCTTACAGTCGGAGGCTCCCTCTCTGGACTGAGAGTTGATATGTAACCTCTGTGATGACACAAGGTTCATGGGGTTGAATAGTTTCTTTCCCTCTCTCAACTGCCAGCCTAGCTCCCAGAGATACCCAAGACAACCTTGAATTGTAACTTAGCCTGTATCGAGTGCCTTCCTGCCTTATCTTGTGACTCCTGGCACACAAGTTATGTTATGTAGTGTGGAACACCTCCTTTCCCAAACCTGTAAGAGTAAGGAATTCCTGTCCTTGGGAATTGAAGGGTCTGCTTTACCCATGGGGCTCTATCGTGACTGCCTGTGGCCCCATTCTAATAACTCTTGTAACAAGTCTTTTTCTGTTCCACCAGCCAGTTCCCAAATAATGACATGGGGACTTATTATGAAAGCTTAGCTTTTAACTTAGGCTTGTTTTCTACTAGCTCTTATAATTTAATTAACCCATTTTTTTGTTAATCTACATTCTACCACGTGGCTTTTATCTTTATCCCATTCTGACTCTTTCCAAATCTGGCTGGCATCTCTCACTTGCCTGGATTTATCTCAGCTTTCTTCTCTCTGCCTGGGGAAGTCCCGCCTATCTCTCTGCTTAGCAATTGGCCATTTAGCTCTTCATTAAACCAATCAGAAGGTGCCTTAGGCACAGATACATCTTTACATTGTAAACAAATTATTCCACATCAAACTCTTCTCCCCCCACCCCTTTTTTATTTGAGGGAAAAGAAGAATTTTAAAGACTTATTTATTATTGCATGTATGAACATGAAATGCATGCACTGCCCAGAAGGACCAGAAGGGGGCATTGGAACCCAGGTGCTGGAGTTAACCTAATAAACATAGTAAGAATTGAACCCAGGTCCTTAGCAAGAGCAGCAAGAACTCATACACCTCTGGGCCCCTCTACAGTTCCACTAACAACTTACAATAAAGCTCTTCTAAAGAGGACTTTGTGCCATCTTCCTTTACATGAACCTGCAACATCTTTTATTATGTATCTAACAAGCAGGTGTTTGGTTCCTGGTGTTCACTGCTCCTTTCACTGCATCTGTGAACCAGAGGAGCTGAGCTGGCCAAGTCCCAGGCAAACCTAAGAACTTCAAATACCAGAATCCCTGGGTCTCAGAGTGGACTACATTTCCCAGAGGCCTCCGCGGCCACCGCCCTCGGACCCGGAGCCCTGACTTCCCGTGAGCCTTCACCGGCCCTGGGGCGTCTGTATCGGGGTTCGAGGTGGGGGTTCGAGGTCTCCAGACTGAGTCCGCACTCGAGGCTGCTCTGAGCCTCGGTGAGGCGCAGCGGGAGCCTCGAGGGGAAGGTGAGCAAGGCAGTTCTGTTTGTTCGCCAGACGGGCTGGGCTGGGTTCGGCTCGGGTCGGCCTGCCGCGCCCCAGGGTCTACGGCGCGTCCCCCTTCCCTTGGGCACGCGGAGGAACGCGTGCTCCCAGCGGTCTCGGCCCTGGACTCCAGGTGACCTGCTCGCCACGGCCGGGGCGGGACCAACCCGTGCCGCCCTCCTGTCCTGGGCCACTGGTCCGCTTTCTGGAGTTTTCTCTGGTGCTCTGGAAATCGACCCCCTGACAGCAGCAGAACAGTTGTGTGGGCAACGCTTGGGAAGGAGGAACTCGTCCCTGACCCATGTCAAACCTGAGCGGGTGCCACTGTGGCTACATTTTGGCCTCAAGTTTTTGATCGGAAGGGGACGGGCAGTGCCAGTTGGACTGTGGTGAACAGTGTAGGGTGATGCCTGGCACGTGGGGGCTCAGCGATACCCACTGTGATGGAGTCCAGTGTCGTCTGAGCCATCTAGAACTGATGCCCATCCCCAGCTCCTGCTTCGTCCTCTGAAGGCGGGGGAGCCAGCCTCGGCTGATGGGACACTTTTGGAGATGGTGCTTCTGAGGGGTGCGAAGCAGCAGGTGCTACCTACCCCTTCCTTCTTTTTCTTCTCTCAGATTCTCCTTCGTCTTAACCGTCTCTCATCTGTGAAGAGAACATGGCTCCTGAGCAAAGGGAAGCGAAGTCTCGGGTAAGCACATTTCATTTCTTAGTGGAAAGAGGGGTTTGGAGTTTTCCACATAGTTCAGCCTTCACTAGGGTTTGGAGCTCTTGTCCTACTTGGAGGGCGTTGATCCTCCCTCCATGACTAGCGGAGTCTGTAGGAAGCACTCCCATGTTCACAATTCTAGTCTTATGTATTTCTTGATAGATGCGCTATTGTTGCCTGATTCCAGTCTGGTGTATGCCTACCAAGTCCACAAGTAACATGCCCCTGGGTGCCCTGGGACAGAACAAACATAGTTGAGTAAACTCCTTTCTGGCCCTGGCTCCTCACTCATCTGTGTTTCTTTCTTTGCCCTTACGGATTGATTATCTATTTTCTTTTCCTGCCAGTCCTTATGTTGCTCCCCCAGCCTTCTCCAGCCTTTGGTGGTTGTTTATTTTATCTACTTTACTTTATGGATTACATGTTGTGCTTGTACATTTCCTTTACATTTTTTTGTCCTGTGTGTGTATGTGTGGTGTGGTGTGCTTGCATACATGCTTATTCTCATGTGTTTGGATGGGCATATCTGTGTGTGAGAATGTACGTGCACACATGTGCACATGCTTGTAAAAGCCTGAGGCTATTGGATGACTTCCCCCAAGGCTCTCCAGATCTTATATTTTGAGTCAGGGTCTCCTACTTGAATCCAGAGCTCATCAAGTTGGCTTTTCCTCACAGGTGTCGGTGACGTTTGAGGATGTGGCTGTGCTCTTTACTCGGGATGAGTGGAAGAAGCTGGACCACTCTCAGAGAAGCCTGTACCGTGAGGTGATGCTAGAGAACTACAGCAACCTGGCCTCACTGGGTAAGGGAGTTCCCTGTGGGCGTAGATTCAGAAATGAGACCTCAGCACCTCCTTCCCTGAATGAAAGCTGTGGTCATTGTGAAACCTTAGCAGAGTTTTGCGTTCAGGTCGTACAAACGGGTCCTTATAAATAAGTATGGACATATTCTTCCCACAGCAGGCTTGGAACTGCCCATGTCCAGTAGAGAAGGTGGCAGTGAGACCATCGCTTCCCTTGGTTCTTCCTGGTCCAGACACCTTCCCCATCAGCAATCATTCTGTGCTTGTTTGGTTTATCTCTAAGCAGAGAGCTTTGTTCCATCTCTGGAACCTCTTTCCCATTGCCTTTACTAGAAGTTTGCTTACTTTTTCTGCAAAGGGCCATATGGGGTAAACATTTTAGGCTTACTTGATTTCTGCAACATAAGAGATTTTCTCAGTCTTCTGTGGTTGTCTGGCTTTTAGCTAATGAGTTAATTTTATCTACAAGCAGGATTCCCATTTACCAAACCAAAGGTGATCTCCCTGCTGCAGCAAGGAGAGGATCCCTGGAAGGTGGAGAAAGAAGGTCCTGGAGGCTCCCCTCTTGGTGAGTGAGTGTGCAGGCCTGACAGTCTCTGCAGGCACCAGTGTGGTGGATAAGGAGAGGGTGCAGCTTGGAGTGTGGGATGGGAAATGTCTTCCGGTTCTCAATCAACAAGAAGTGATGGAGCTTAGTGGTAAGAACACCTGAAGGCGGTGGATTAAGGATTCACCAGACCCAAGATAAAGATAAATAGGTGTTTTATTGGAGAACAACTTACACAGATAAGAGTAAATAACCGCCGTGGCCTTCCTGCTCCAGAAGATTTAGTCTCTGCCCTTTCGATGCTCTTCATGACCCAAGAGAGCATGCCCCGTGCCTGCAGCTACTCTACCTTTAAGTGATCACATGCTGAAAACATGCCCAAAGGGTGTGGCTACTTTTTCAGGTTCACTAGCAAGGCCAGATGCCACTACAAACACCTGCCTGGCACACATAAAGCCCTGGGTGCAATTCCTAGCACAAAAAAAAACCCAATGAATTAAATAGGAGTAAGGCAGGGGAAACTGAAGCTGAAGTCTGGTCCGGCTCCCTTGTATTCTCTTGGGATCTTTTTTCTTGTTGGTTGTTTCTGAGGAGGGTTGCATTGTCAGAGATCATTTAAGAAATACAGTATATTTAAGGAAAGATTAAAAAAAAAAAAAAAAAAAACCTCACTGAGGCTGAAGTTAAAATGAAGGAAATAAGATGAGAAGGCTATGCAAGGGTCCCAAAACAGGTGCCTTGGTGCAGGACTGGGAGCTGTATTCTGCATGTGGACAACTGGAAGTACTTGAAATGCAAATGGAAATTGTGTAATCTTTGATAGCGTTGGGAAAGCTGGTACTAATCAGAAACAGTTCAGAGGTCTTCAGTAAAACGGCTAAAGAAACTGGTATGTCCTTGTTCTGGTGATAGAGACTGTCAAGTAGTGAGGCAAGTTTCAGATCACTGTCGATATGTTACCACTAGGTCGAAAGAAAATTGTGTTCTTAAAATTTTGCGTGCGTGTGTGTGTGTGTGTGTGTGTGTGTGTGTGTGTGTGTGTGCGAGATAGCTCTCAAGTATGAGCTCTACACACGTGAGCACAGAAGGATTAGGAGCAGTGTGTCCTCTTCGAATGAATCTGGGTTAAGGGTCTTTATTTGCATATAATGTTTTAAAGTTTTGCAAAGAGCTGTTATATTCAGGAAGTCCTCCTGTGACATGCGCTGCAGAGGAGGGACTGAAAGTGAGGCACAGCCAGGGAGCCTAAGGGAGCTGCTGCAAGATTGAAAGTAAACAGCTGGTGGGATCTAGATGAAGGCCCTGCTTCAGGGATCTAGAGAGACCTAGTTTGAAGAGTTTGTGGTCGGGGTGGTTTTTATTTTAGATGTAACTGAAGTACTCGGATATAGATCTCTGGTGGGGAATTCTGTAAGGTTGGAACTCACAAGGTCGAAGTCCTTGAAGCCTTGAGCTGACCAGGTGGGAGTAGGATCCTGGGAAACTGCAAGGTGGTGAAGAGAAAAAACCTTGTGAGCCTGCCCTGAAGTGACCTGAACTGGGGCTGGAGAAGTGATGGCTGTGCTGATAGAGATTTGGGGCTACTGGTGAACCAAGACCCGAACATGGGTTTCTGCTTGCCTAGCCCTTCATAAATGCTGAATAAGCTCTGTGCTGGGTGCCAGCAAAGTGGCAGGAGGAAGGATAAAGCTAGGTCCTGCTCTTGTGAAGTGCTTGATGCAGTGAGGAGAATAAAGAAACCAAGTATCCAGGGCCAGCCATGTGGAAAAGTCTAGTGAGGACTAGTAGAGAATGATACAAAGTGCTCTGAGAGTGCAGGGCAGGAGCCCCTGGAGCCAGGGCAGTCTCTCTCTCTCTCTCTCTCTCTCTCTCTCTCTCTCTCTCTCTCTCTGTGTGTGTGTGTGTGTGTGTGTGTGTGTTCTAGTTTAGGGAATGGAGACTGAAGGAACCAATATTGACCCAGGGGAAAGGTAGAGGAGATCTGGAGACATTGGCAAGACCAGATTTCTCCTGAGGCCCATCACAGATTGCATCTGAGGATTTCAGAGTCTGCATAGGGCTAAGGAGTCATGAGCAGCCTGGAGCTAGTTCGGGGAACCTGAGGGCAAGGAGGGGAGAGAAGCTAGGGCAGGTCTGAGCTCTCAGGTCTGTCAGTGAGCCTGGACCTGAGAGCCAAATGACAGGCCACCCTGTCCCTGTCCTCTCACAGCCCTTGTATGGGAGCATCTCTTCCTAGTCCAAAGTAAACACTTGTGAGATGGCAGCCACAATTGTCTTTTACATTCTCATTTGTGTAGAAACTGCCCTAAGTAGTTAGGATGCCTGAAGGAAAAGGAATTAGCCTAAGCAGAATAGGTCTGCAGTTCAGAGCTGTCTTGGGAAAGGCTGAGGTGCCTGATGAAGTGGTCACCTGCCTTCCTCAGCTCTGGGGGAAAGCTGAGTGGATGACTGAGGAGTGAAGTGGTGAGTGGACATGGGAGCTGCTCTCTGCTCTGTTCTGGGTGAGAGTTTGACTGTGTAGCCCAGGCCAGCATTGAACATGAAATTTCTCCTATTTCAGTCCCCTGAGTACTGGGATTATAAATATGCTGCTCTGTTCCTCTTGAGGAATAGCCATCCTTTTTTCTCTCATAGTGAACTTCAGGTGGGAGGCTTAGGGATGTCCATGTGTCCATGATGTGCCCTGGCAAGCCACCATGTGCCTTTTGCAGTAGGAGCTCACATCCCACAAGTGCAGTTGAAGGACCTGCAAATCTATACCTGAGATCATGATGTCAGACAGAACCTAATTCTGAACCTGCAAGTTATTTTTCCCTTCAAAAACTAATCACAGATAAAAACAAAACAAAACAACAAAAAAAGCAGGGCTCAGTTCTTTAGAGCATTTGCTGCCCTTGCAGAGAATGAATGTAGTTCCCAGCACCCATATGGTGGTTTATAACCATTCATAACTGCATTTCCAGGGCTTCTGATGCCCCTCTTTTGCCCTCTGTGTGTCCCAGGAATGCATGTGATAAACAGGCAAGCAAAGCACCATTACATGTAAAAATGAATTATGAATTTAAAAAACAAAATGCACAAGTAAAGTAACTTTTGTCCCTGGGTTTGTAAGTTTTAAACTGAGAGGTGAGAGGCCATGGCTCAGGGTTTGTGTCTTACTTGGTTCTCTTGCTCAAGAATTGCTGCAAACCTCAGCAATGAGATGGTGCTTTTCCTGCTTAGCTACACTAAGAACCATGGGTGCATTGTACCTGTGCTTTGCACAGGTTTGCTTCACATCTAAATGCAGAAATAGTTTGGAATTTTGACATTTTTTTAAAGTCCAGAAATGATCTAGTAATCACATCTCCAGTGAAAGATCACTTCCCCTGCCTTATCATTTCCTTTGTGGTCTTTAATGTCAGCAGCCATTGAGAATGCTGAGCTGTGAGGGGTAATCAGCTGCAGTGTCATCTGCTGTCCTGTCAGTGAGGTCTCTGGGGGTTGTGTCTGCTCAGAGGAAGGGTGACTCTTCCTGATTTTATACAAGGGTTACCACAGAGGTTTGCAGCAGGCCTAAATAAAATTGAGTGGCTTAAAACAATTATAATCCGTTATCTCAATGCAGATGTTGAGATAGGGTAGAGACCATCCAGTTTGTAGTGATGGCCACAGTTCTGAGTAGATTGTAAGGAACAGTTAGTATGTTCACAATCTAAGACTGACAGTGGAAAATGAATTGAGAACTAAGACCTTGGCACTTGGGAGTTGAAATGGGTACAATAGAATTGTCTTAGTTAAGGCTACTGTTTCTGTGATGAAACACACATCACAGTTCATCATCTGAGGACAGGAACTTAAGCACTGTAGGAACCAGGAGGTGGGATCTGATGCAGATGCCACAGAGAGTGCTGCTTACTGACCTGCTCCTCATGGCTTGCTCAGCTTGCTTTCTTATACAACCCAGGACCACCAGCAGGATGGTACCACTTAGGATGGGATGGACCTCCCCCCATCAATTGCTAATTAAAAAAATATCCTACAGGCTTCCCTATATCCTTATCTTATATAAGCGTTTTCTTAATTGAGATTCTGTTCTCTCAGTTGACTTTAGCTTTTGTCAAGTTGAAATAACTTAGTCCTCTCTGTTACACCAACCAAACCATACACCAAACCCAGTCTTCAGGGTATTTGCCACAACTGATCACTTGCTCCTCTCTGACTCATGGAATTTTATCCCTCCCAGTTTTCTTCTTATATGTTCAAGAAATCTGGTGGTTTCTTTCCCTTCTTTGGCTTTAAATAGAATCTGTATGCTGATGACTCCCACATGCCTATCTTCAGCTCTGACCTTTTCCCCAGATCTCTAAAAATAACACAGCTATTTCAGTGCCTCCTTGCATTTTCTTCTGAACGCCCCCTTAGCTATCACAGATATACCTGAAACAGACCCCCCTAGGAGTTGCCATTTTCTCCTCCCTCTTGGTAATCAGTGCCATAATTCATTTTCAGGCTGGAAAACCTAGGCATGATCTTAATTGTACTCTTTCATTCTTAGTACTCTGTTAGTTTGTTCATCTCAGCCCTGTTAGCAACTTCATCTGTATCTTACCCACTTTCTGACTACACAACCTCAGTAGCTCCCCAAAGCCTTCATCTTTTTGCTTTCACTCCTGCCCCAGCTCACTCTGTTCTCTGCCAACTCAAATCAGCATGTATTTTCGCAGGCATCCTGTCATGCTTAGTTTAGATTCCATAATCTTCACCAATACTGAGGAAGCCTTGTATGATTAGCCTCTGTCCCATACTTTGCTCTTTTGCCATTTTCCCTTTTGTTCAGTGGATTTCAGGCACCACATTTTTGCTTTTTCAAGAAGTCATCTATGCTTCTATGTTTCCTGATTGCTTTGCCTAGGACTCTCTTCAAATAGACACATGGCTTCTATTTACCTGTTTGTCACTGTATCCTGTCTGCCTGTCCAGCACGCATGCATGCACACATATGAAAGTTTCTGTGAGTTTCTGTAAGTCTGGAAGCTTATCTTATTCAGACATTCTCTGCATTCCCTCAGAACATTATCTAGCCATGGTATTCACCTAGTAAGTGAGTGTGGATAGAAGGGTATGTGCATTCCCTCAGAACATTATCTAGCCATGGTATTCACCTAGTAAGTGAGTGAAAATAGAAGGGTATTCTCTGCATTTGTAAAGATAACTGGACGGCTCCAGAATGCATCTAACTCAGCCTACCTGACAAGTTGCTAGGGGAGGAGGTGATGGCAGATGTGGACAAAAGTTCCCGTCTCTGTGGGGAGGAACCTGGACCTCAACTATGAATCAGTGGCATTCTAACAGATCTTTAGGAACCTGTAGCACAGGAAGATATGGATTTAGGCAGGATTACCTCCTTGCAGTGTGGTAATCAGTGAGTTGTCAGAGGGCAAGACTCAAAGACAGGAAGCTAGTTAGACAATAATGCATAGGAAACAAAATGCTATCTCAGTGCCTGTCTTAGTCACTGTCGTATTGCTGTGAGGAGACACCATGACTACAATTCGTACAAAGGAAAACATTTAATTGGGGTTGGTTTACAGTTTCAGAGGTTTAGTCCATTATTGTCATGGTGGGGAGCATGGCAGGATGCAGTTAGACACGGTGCTAGAACAGCAGCTGAGTGTTCTATATCCTGATCCATAGACAGCAGCTGAAGAGAGACAGGCAGGCAGGCAGGCAGGCAGGCAGGCAGGCGCGCACGCACGCACACGCACACACACACACACACACACACAGAGGGAGAGACAGACTGACTGACTGACTGACTGGGCTTAGCCTGGACCTTTGAATTCTCAAAGCCTACCCTTAATGACATTCTTACTCCAACAAGAATCCTAACTCTCAAAACAATTCCACTCCCTAGTGACTAAACATTCAAATACATGAGCCCATAGGGGCCATTCTTATTCAAACCACCACACTTTATCTATGGGGCAGATATACATACAGTGCCTGACTGCTGCACTCAGAACTCTAGTAAAGGCAAGGTGTCAGAACTGTAGCCTTTCTTTACAAGAAAGCCAGAGGCAGTGTATTAGACTCTTTATTGCTGTGACAAATACTAGAGAGAAACCATTCCAAGGAGGAGAGAATTATTTTGTCTCATGGCTTTAGATATTTTAATCCATGGCACTTTGCTGCCTTGCTGCTGGGCCTGTGGTGAGGCAGAGTGTCACATGGTGATATATGAATAGGCCTGTCCAGAAGCTGGAGGAGAGTAGGGACAAGCTATATAAGATATCCCTCCAGTAACCCACTTCCTGAGCTAGTGAGGTTTTTAATACACAGGTCTTTAGTTGACATTTCAGACTCAAACCATAACAGCTCTCTTGCTTGATGCATGGATGAGGCTACCTTTCCAGCTTACAGTTCTTGACCTTTTGCCTACTTTGTGGCACCCCTGTAAAAGTAATAATATCTTCTGTGTGAAGTTATTCAGAAATTTTCATAATCATCTGTGTTCTGTTTGGGAAGGCAGGTTCTATGAGGGCCTGTGACTAATATATATGAAATCCATGTTTAAATAGTCAAGACTATTTGGCTTTCTTCAAATTAGGTATAAATAAGAAAGATGTACTCAACAAGCCAGATGTGGTAGCATATGCCTATAATTCAGCACTTGGAAGGCAGAGTCAGAAGGATTGCTACAAGTTTGAAGGTAGCTTCATCTACCAAATTGGGCTGTGTAATAAGATTTCATCTCAAAACAAAACAAAGATGTGTGTGTGTGTATGTATATGTATGTGTATATATGAATGAATGATACCATCAAGAGGATTTGTGAGAGGGAAAGCATGCTGATCTGGTTATATGTTGAGTGGTCACCGTAATCCCAGCACTCAGGAGGCTTAAGCAAGAGGTCAGGAGTTCAAGGACACCAGGGCTGCAGATTGAGATTCTGTCTCAGGAATCTGGCTGGAGGAATGGATCATGGATATTCAGAGTCAAGGATTCTTACAGTAAACTTTTTAATTGAATCTGAAAGATATTGTTGACAGGAAACCAAAGAGGGCAAACTTAGCAGATAACAATCTAGGTCACTATCATTTTCACTCTGAATTCTGGATAATGCATTTCCCAACTCTGTCCCATTTATTCACCCTCTTTAAATGGGTTTGCTTTATTTTTTTCTTCACTCTACTACTTCTATTCCTGTCAGTTATGTTTCTCTATTAACTCTTCTATCCCGCCCTCAATATTTTAATCATATACCAAGATTAGTATTTATTTTACGTGTTTTGTCTCAGTAGTCAATTTTTATACCACAAGAAACATCTTTGGTTTCTTTTTTCCCTTTCTAGGATTGAAGCACAATCATAGAACCACTAAGTCAACTCAAACACAAGACTCTTCATTTCAGGAACTGATTGTGAAAAACTCTAAAAGAAATGAACCTTTGAACTTGAAGTCAGAAAAACTTTTCATATATGAAGGCAAGTTAGAGGAAAAGCAGGATAAGAATACTTTGACTATAGAAAGAAGCCATAAAAACAATGAATTTAGCCCAAAGTCACATAGAGAAAAAAGGTCATCAGAATGTGAAAAACAAAACACTTTCAAGCAGATACCGTATTTATCTAATCAACTAAAAATCACACCAGATAAACGATATAAATGTAGTATGTGTGAGAAAACTTTCACCAACACCTCATCTCTTCGTAAGCATGAGAAAAACCATAGTGGAGAGAAATTATTTAAATGCAAAGAGTGTTCAAAAGCCTTTAGCCAAAGTTCAGCCCTTATTCAACATCAAATAACTCACACTGGAGAGAAGCCTTATGTATGTAAAGAATGTGGTAAAGCCTTCACTCTCAGTACATCCCTGTATAAGCATCTAAGAACCCACACTGTAGAGAAATCCTACAGATGTAAGGAATGTGGTAAATCCTTTGGCCGAAGGTCAGGTCTTTTTATACACCAGAAAGTCCATGCTGGAGAAAACCCTTATAAATATAATCCAGGTAGGAAGTCATCTAGTTGCAGTACATCCCTGCCTGGTCAGAGAATTCATTCCAGAAAGAAGACTTATTTGTGTAACGAATGTGGCAACACCTTTAAGTCTAGCTCGTCCCTTCGTTATCATCAGAGAATCCACACTGGAGAGAAACCCTTCAAATGTAGCGAATGTGGCAGAGCCTTCAGTCAGAGTGCATCACTTATTCAACATGAAAGAATTCACACTGGAGAAAGGCCCTACAGATGTAATGAGTGCGGAAAAGGCTTCACTTCTATTTCAAGACTCAATAGACACCGAATAATTCACACTGGGGAGAAATTTTATAATTGTAATGAATGTGGCAAAGCCTTAAGTTCCCATTCAACTCTTATTATTCATGAGAGAATTCACACTGGAGAGAAACCATGCAAATGTAAAGTTTGTGGGAAAGCCTTCAGACAAAGTTCAGCTCTGATCCAACATCAGAGAATGCATACTGGAGAAAGACCTTATAAGTGTAATGAGTGTGGGAAAACATTCAGGTGTAACTCATCCCTCAGCAACCATCAGCGAATTCATACTGGAGAGAAACCATACCGATGCCAGGAATGTGACATGTCATTTGGCCAAAGTTCAGCTCTTATTCAGCATCGCAGGATTCATACTGGTGAGAAACCCTTTAAATGTAACACATGTGGGAAAACCTTCAGGCAAAGCTCTTCACGTATTGCACATCAGCGAATTCATACTGGAGAAAAACCCTATGAATGTAACACATGTGGGAAACTTTTCAACCATAGGTCATCCCTTACCAATCATTATAAAATTCATGTGGATGAGGACTCTTAAAAGAAGTAAATTTGCATGTGTAAAAGCCTTAAACCAAAGCTCTGCAGAGAATATGTGCTTGAGAGATATAACAAACATAATGAATATGGAGAAAGAACCTACAATCAACTAATGCCATGGATAAATTGTGTTAACAGGTAGAAGGAAAGTATTCTTGCGTGTCCAACACTTTAAAAAATTACTTGAGAGCCAGGCATAGGGGTTCATACACATGGTTGTACCTACTGAGGACCTTGAAGCATGAGGATTGCTTGAGTCTGTGAGTTTGAAGCAGCCTGAAGAGACTTAGCAATACTTCATCTAGAAAAGTGAGCAACTGGGATGAAGGATTCACAACTGAAGACCACAACTTCAGGCATTTGTAAAATGGTGCTTTTCTCTCTGCAGCAGTGTGCTGGATATAATTATAATCATAGGCATCTAAGTGATGAACAGAAGGGTGTGCTGGACTTCTTATTAATAAAACACTAAACTCTACACTGGTGATATTTTTATAACATTTTAATAACATCCAAAAGGGATAAAAGAAATTACACGTTTTTTTAGAAAAAAAGGGCCAAAATCTACCTCCTAGTCTCTGGAATTTATCATTTTCTTCACCCATTTTCAAATGTTATGTGTGGATTTTATTAAAAGTGGAAATTAAAAAACTGGTCTCTCTTGGTATTGCTGTGATTTGAAGCTATTTACCCAATTCTGTTCCTAGAGTTTTGTTGTTGCTTGCTGCTGTTTTGATTGCTTTAAAGTCATTTATTACTAAATTCTGTTATCCCATGTGCTATTGTCTAGTTATATTAAATATGAAAATGGGCAATTATGGGGAGCTGATGAAATGGCTTAGTGGTTAAGAGAATGTTTTGTAGTTTCAAAGGACATAAGTACAATTCCTAGTATCCATGTCAGGTGGCTCATATAAGTAACCCTACCTCTGGCTCCAGGGAGCACTGATGTATCTAGTTTCCACAAGATTGCACACATGTGTGTTCACACTTAAATACATAATTTAAAAATCTTTTCAAGATAAAGTTGGAAATAAAATTCAAAGTTACTAAGGGTTTTGGTTTTTGTGTTTTGTCATACACAAAACCATGTCAGAGGACATTTGGCAAAACTAACACTTGTATTTTGTGTTCCAACAAAGCTTGCCTGGAGATCAGAGGGTAGAGCTGTCCACTAATTAACCGTAGAAGGGTGGAGGTCTGTACAGACAACAGACAGGAAGTGAATGATAAGGCTGGGAGGAAACAGAATCTCAACCCTTTTGGTCAGATAATTCAGAGAGGTAAGTCTCTGGTGGCTGCTGCTATGCTTCTCTGATTTTTTAGTTTTTGCCCCAATATCTGACTCAGCGTTTTTATTAAGATTAGATTTACACTTCATCGGGAAATGCTGAAGACTGTTGTTATTTAGAGATGCTTGTGTGCCCTTTAATTCATAGGTTGAAATGCTAAATATGGGGCTTTTCAGCAGATTACTAAAAGGTGTGAGCTAATAGCCCCTCTTGAATGGGATTAGCGTTCTGATGAAATAGTGAACACATTCTGTTTTTCAGACACCACAAGATGGAAAGCTGTGGTCGTTTTCACCAGACAGTAAAACATAAGCCCTTAAAAGTTGCATTAATATGGTGGCTCATCTTTGTTAACATCACTGGCTTTAGAACCACCTAGAGGACACATCTCTGGTCATGTCTGTGGGATTATTTCCAGAGGTTTAGCTGTGGGGCAAAGAACCACCCTAAACATGAGTGGAATCATCCATCCCATGGACTAGAGTTTGGGCTGAACACAAGAATTTTTCTGTTTCCAGATCCACTACAAGCAAGCAGCCCCATACTCATCCAACCACAATTTACTTTTATCACTATGTCTTTTCTAGTGTGGTCTACACCTGCTACTTGTAACTGTAGTGACTAATCACATTTCTAATTGAGGGAGGAGGCGTGAGATGGTTTCTCTGTGTAGTCCTGGCTATCTAGAACTCACTCTAGACCAGGCTGATCTCAAGCTTAGAGATCTCCTTGCCTCTGCCTCCTGAGTACTGGAATTAAATGTATGTGCTGTGAAATATTCCTTTACAATGTGTCTCTGGGGTTGGTTTTATAAAGAAACTAACTGGTCAGTAAATGAACAGAATAAGATTAGGCAGGAAAGCAAGACTAGGAGGATGCTGGGAGGAAGAAGGGCGGAGTCTGGAGTTGCCAACCAGATGTAGAGGAAGTAGGAGATGAACATACCATGCTAATAAAGGTACTGCCACATGGCAGAGTGTAAATAGGAATATGGGTTAATTTAAAATGTTAGAGCTAGTTAGTAATAAGCCTGAGCTATTGGCTGAGCATTTGAAATTAATATAGGCCTCAGTGTGTTTATTTGGAAGCTGCTGGCAGGACAGAAGCTTCCGTCTACAGGTATATACTGCCACTGCCCAGCCTATATAATTTTAAGTTAAAAATTAAATTCCTCATTTTCAGTAGCCACAGATCCTCCATCGAGGAGAGTTGTATATTGGTCCAGAGCCAGAAATTTCTGTGGTGTGAAGATCCTCTGCAAAATGCTCTATAAGAACATCAGGAGACAACTGGCTCAGAACAGGAAACACATCACAGTGCTGGGAACTAGACAGAACTTGGAAATAAAATTTGGAATCAAGTGAGATGACTCACATCTCTTCCTGCTAATGGCTAGGTTTGGAAGGAACCCAGAACTACATAGAGGCCAAAGAATAGGGAGAGTTCACAACTTTCTGGGTAACCTGAGGTCTGCTATTTTACTACATTTAATGTTGCTGTAGCAGACTATCACTGGCTAGGTAATTTATAATGAGTTGCAGTTTTTTGTTTTTTTTTTTGCAATAGTGTTATCTAAAAAGGCTACATCCAGTGAAGGTCTTGCTATAACATAACATGGCCAAAGCCATCACAAAGAAAAAGAAGACTGTAGTAGCAAATGCACTCTCCCAATACTTACTCCACAATAGCAATAGTAATAGTAATCCATTTATCCAAATGCTCTGCCTCTCAGTGCTGTTAATTTGGGGATTTTGATCCCAATACATGAACTTGGTGGGGGGGCGGGGCCGTCAAACAATAGCATCTCATATCCTTTTGATGGACCAGCCTAACTCCATTTTAAAGTTAAAAGCCATTTTGTTAGGTCAAAATAAGTTCATTTCTGTTTGCTGCAAAATTCCAAGTTGACTGTGCTTTAACCTGTTTTTGGAATTTGACACTGTAGGGTTTAGCTCACACCTTGGATGTACTCTATCTACCCTGATAAGATGTTCTGCCCAAGATGGTCTCTCAAATAATCTAATCTGCTGTCTACTTCTGTAAAATATTGCTTGTCAAATCCCTACTCCACAAAATTCCTTTGAAACCCCCAGTTTACACCTTTTTCCTATAAAAAGAGGCCCAAAAAGTTAACCTGTGCTGCTCTCTCAAACCCTGCTTCGAGAGTCAGTTCTGTGCATAGTAAATAAAGATTGCTTATCTTGGAGGAGTGGTATTTGTTCTCAGTGGGATCGACAGTTTCTTTCTGAGTGATCAGTGGGGCTGGGTGGCTCATCAGGATTGCTTGCTGCTATTCCAGAGGACCTGAATTTAGTTCCCAGCACCCACATCAACTGTCTTACAAACTGTCCCCTATAGTGACCCTCCAGTGACTTGATGTATTGACTTTGAGATATAACCGGGGGCTCCAGGTGATGACTGCCCAGAGCTCTTTCCTAGGCTTCTCTGAAGCTTTTATTCCAAGATATCTCAAGGTTCAAAGCAGGGACAAAGAAGCAATGTTAAACATCTGAGTAGTTCTCAGCACTTTCACCAGAAGTGCTCAGAGGGCAGGAAGTCTCAAATCTGGAAGCGGGGATATTTGTAAAATGTACTTGAACACTCTTAAACTGGAAGAAGGAAATATCTTGTCTTGGCATCCCTTGGGTAGGTGGAGGCATTCCACCTAGAGGGATAAACAAAGGTCCAAAGGAGCAGAAAAGCAGATAATGTAGGAAAGTTTATAAAATCTAAAGGGATTTGCCATATTCTGGCCTCTGCAGGCAGCTACACACATGGCACAAATGTAAAATAAAAAGAATAAAATCTTAGTGCTCAGAGGAGTATTTACCATCACAGAGCAACTTTTACACTTATAGACAACAGATTTTGTTTTTGTTTTGTATTCTTCCCAACATAATATTTTTATTAATTATTTGGAAATTTCATACAATGCACCCTAATTCCCATTCCTCCCAGGTCCACTCTCCCACCCTTGTGCCCCCACCCCTAATAGAGGAAAAAAAAGAGAAAAATACACCAAATCAAATTTGTGTTGCCCATATGCTTAGTGGAGGATGGTCAAACTCCCAATGGCCAGCCCCCCAAGGAAAGGGGAATCCTTCCCCATCCCTTGCTTCCCTCCCCCAGAAGCCATCATCTGTGAAGAACTAGTCCTCAGCATCTCCACCACAATTTCCAAGGACTCACTTCAATAGTTTCCTGTCTGACTTTCTGTGTGTGTGTGTGTGTGTGTGTGTGTGTGTGTGTGTGTTGGGAGTGGGGATGTCACAGAAGCCCTCAAAGTCTCTTATTCTCAGTTATGAGAGCAGTCATCAATACCTCAAGAGAAGGTTGCTTTCCCATAGCAGCTGCCAGCAGCACGGATCATGGACTTGCATATGGTCTCCTGAAGCCCTGATCAAGATCAGACATCAGCATGGCCTCTGGTGGCAGCACAGACTATGGACATCAACATGATCTGTGACAGCCCTGATCGTGAACACCAATATGGCTATGGTGGCGGCAAGGACCATGGAGGTCTTTCGAGGAGGCTTAATCCAGAAAAAGAACCATTCTTCATCCTGGATATCTTGTTGCTCAGTCAAGGTGATCATGTCATTGGGCATTGTGTTTGGGGACAGTACCTACTCAACCAGGATGCTGACCTCCCCGCTGCCATGCATGACCATCATGTTTGCAGCCTGTGGGCAGCAGCACTGCCCGTTGCTTTCCCACCCCCACCCCACACCAGCAGAGCTAGCAGTGTTAGTGGCAGCAGCAGTGGTGGCTCCAGGCCTCGGGCCAGGCCTTTGAGTGGAGCAGCAGTACCAGCCCAGTGGGCAGGAGCAGGGTGGCACAAACCTCCTGGTGGCCTGAGGCCCTTTTCTCTCAGGAGCACCACTCCCTTCTCTTCTGCTACCTTTTTTTCTAGTCCATGAAACCATTTTTTAAAAAACATCTTCCCATAAAGACATGCATGTTTTTAGTTGTTCCAGAGATACTGCAAGCTCTACAGGCTCATTCTCCACTGCTGGGTCTCCCCTTGAAACCTCCCTGGGTCTCTCAGGCTTCTCAGAGCTGCCCCACACCTCAGGTGCAGGTAGCCACCACCATCTTGAATCTAGTCATCTCTAGATGACAGATTTTGAATCCTGCCTTTTGTATTTTATAACTTTGATTTAACCTCGCTGAATCTCCATTCCTTTTTTGCCAAAGTGGCAGTTGATCCAGATACTCCTCCACCTAAAAGGAACAGACACTTGGCAATCTCTGCCTCACCATTTTGTGCACATTTCTGGGGCAGTAGGATGTGGTGGGTCAAACTGAATTGACTTCTCTATGCAGAAACTCTTTCCCAAGTTTTTCTTGAAAATTAAAAGAGTCACAGGGATTCTGGCCAGCTCCAGCATGGCAGGCATGGCTCTGGCAGGCCTTGTTCTTCTCCCCATTCCCTCTGCCTTGCTAAAACTGTAGGATCATATTCCTAAAGCTGACACCTCCTCCTGAGGTTGACTACCAAGGTCCAGCTATCAAAGTATTGAAGTCCAGCAATCAAAAGACCCCTTTGACTGCCCTAATTAACATGCCCAATTAAAATTAAACACCACATGGGGTTTCCCCTTCTTCTTTTCTATCTTTCTTTCTTTTTTTTTTTCTTTTTTT